GAGCCCTCAGAGGTCCTAATCGCTGTTGCTACAGCTGGTGAGTGTGGGTTTTTTGGTTTTTGGGGTTTTTTGGTTTTTGTTTTTTTTTTTTTTTAAGTGCTGGGAGGCTGGGGCTGGGTAGGTGTTGGGGCCGGGCAGGGCAGCCATGGGGACTTCTCCCATGGCTCCCCCTGCCCAGGGAGAGCCAGGTCCAGTCAGAGGAGCCATGAGAGAACCCGCAGCCGCCCAGCTGTGCCTGCCTCTCCCTAGCTGAACCGAATCTCTGAATCAGCGCCAAAACAGCATTGAAACTCCAAAACAGAGCTGGCCAAATTGAAATGGAACAGTGATCAGAAACACCAAAAAAAATTACTATACTCTGAAATGGCCTAATCCAAAACCAAAACAAAACATAGCTGTTTCACACAGCCCTGTTATGTCTGCAGTTTCAGACTGGCTTTGTTGCTTCCCAAATAAGTATTTTGTTTGTTTTAAAACTCATATCAAAATTTCAGCTAATTCATGGAAACTTTAAAACCTTTTTAGGAAAATGTGTAAAATTCTGCACAGTATGGTAGAATTAAATGAGAAATGGGACCCTGTGCTTGGTAGCCACATATAGGTATGTAGTTGTGGAAGCAGTCTAAGCATGTTAAAGCAGTCTGTCATCGAGTTCATCATGTAATCTACATTTGCCTGAGATAAAGTAGTTAAGAAATTTACATGTGATGCTATGTTTACGAGGGGCTCAGGAGACTGCATATGGTAACTGTCTCACTACATTGGCATTCTTAGGCAAGAAGAAAGTAAATACTAAAATACTATTGGGTTTTATCCAGTAGTAAATTTCTGTACACTGCATCACTTAGCTCAGTGGTTTCCAAACTGTGGTATGATTACCACCAATGGTATGCAGACAGCCTGTCAGTGGTACATGTTAACAGATTTATTATAGTTACTTTATATGACAAAAATTTGCTAGTGGTACTCAAGGTTGACCTGAAAATGTTGCTGGTGGTACTTAAGGCTATACCATTTTAAACTGGTGGTGCGCAATCTGTCAGAGTTTTTGGGAATTGTTGGTTAGCTCATGTCCTCAGAAAAGCAGCACGTCCGGAAGACAGCCCCCAGGGTACAGTTGGGATGCATCAGCCCAGTCCTGATTTGTGGCACAAATTAATCCTAGGGAATACAAGCTCCCTAAAATGTTCCAAAGTGGATTGCCTTTTCTGATCCCTTATTTGGTGAGGGTCAATTTGTTGTGCAATCAGCCACTTCAAAAGTGTTCTGCAGCCACGCATGTGGGTCACAGCATGGACGTAGGTGAGAAGTGATCCCCGAGCTAGCTGAAGTCCCAAACAGTTTGGCTTATTAATCCATTTGGGTTAAAGATTATATCTTTTTGTTCCATAGGCAATGATTGTTTTTGTGGATCCAAAAAATTTCCATTTGGAACTATACTCCACGTTCTTCTGTCTTTGTCATGACCCTGAAGTGCCAGTCAGATATACTATGGCTGTTGGCTTCTATGAAGTAAGTCCAGAAAGTTTCTTTGTTAATACTGCAGTTATGAGTTGGCTTTTTTTATATTACATTTCTTTAATGGTACTTTGCCTAAGTTCTCATTTATGGTATTTTATCTTAGTTAAAAATAACTGAGATCAAGAGAAGTGTTTGCATTATTTGGTTTCTATTTTTTTTGTAATATGGGATACAAATACTTGGTTGAAGATTAGATAAATACAAGGAGAAGAATGGAAAGTGAAGGAGACAAGGATGGGGAAAAGATGCTGATGCCTTTCTCTAGAGCTGTATGGGATATGGCACTAACTGGCAGAATGGCCAAAATAGCTGTAAGCACTGGCCTAAGCTAAACATTGAATTTAAGATGCCAAGACTTAAAACTGTATAGAAATGAAAGAAGTATGTGCATTTTAATTACTCATTTGGATTCAGGTAGCTGCTATATTGTTTTATTATAGGTATCTGTTTATAGTCTTGTAGATATTCCTGACTTTTTTTTCCTTTAAAAAAAATCCGCATATTGGGGATTCATCTAAATGAGCTCAACCTTCTTTACTGTAAACACATGTCTCAGGCCAACCCAGGAGTTAGCTGCTGTAATCACCATTTTACTGATGGCCAAATGAGTCTGAGGGTGTAAGTTATGTGGGCTGCAAACAGATGTCACATTTATCCCCAGGATAAAGTGTAAGAAACTTTCCTGGATAAGAGGTGGTAATAGCTTATCCCAGGATATTGTGAAGTATACCTGTACAGGTATCCCAAGACTGTATGATTGAATCCATGGCAGGAAAGCGTTGTGGCATTCAGTTGCTCACTAAAATTCTGATTAGAAGGACAATGTGTGTGTATGCTAATTCTGGGATATTTTTATTTCAGGATAAATTTAGGTATAACTTATTCAGGGACAGTTGTAATTTAGGTATAACTTATTCAGGGACAATTGTATTCTTATCCTTGTTGAAAATGTTACTTTGGTTTTACTTTAGATTCTACCACAGTATCTTATACTCTTGTTTTCACAGTGTTGCTTTAACAGGAAATAATCCAAGCTTAGCAGTTGTCATTTTATACTTAGAACTATAATTCAGCAAAATCCTATGGAGTTGAAATGTTTCAACTCCAATATGATTTTAAAATGATGATTGAATATAGCCAACAAAATAGTTTTAGTTCTGTAAATGGAACTGGTGAAATTTTACTAAAATGTTGTGTATATTCAGTTTTGGTTAAGTTCTTGTATCGCCACCATAAATAATCAAATATAGGTCAGCCAGCTATAAGTAATTTATGGTGTTACTGCAAGTTGGGCGTATATTTGATGAATTCTGTGTAACTTTTTCCTAGAAGAAGTAAATAACCTTCTTCTTAGCTGGAGTTAAACTCTTGGTCTGAATATGAATCAAAGTCCAGTCTTTGAAGGAACCTGTGATATAACATACATGGCTAAGATGTCAGATCCATGTGGCTTTTCTCTTGCATTGTTATTTTACAGTAGGGCTGTGCGAAATTTCGCCACCAGTTTTGTTTCGACGCTCTTTTGACTCATTTTGAGATTGAAACAGCGAAATTGAAATGAAACAGATATTGTCAAAACAGCCTTGAAACAAAACGAGACAAGTTGAAACGTTTTGCCGTTCCCACACAGTTTCGACATTTCCCCCATAAGCTATAATAGGGAAACTCAAAACAACCTTTACCTGTTGTCATTTCTCGCCTGATTTGGATGAAACTTGCAGGAATGGTAGACCCTTCTAAGGGAATAAAGCCTGCAAAGTTACAAGGAGATAGCTGCAGGGGGTTCAGGGAAACTGCACCCCAAAGTCTTGAAAGCAAAACTCATGTCACGTGTATGTGTTAAGCCACAGTGGGGTCAAAACTGCAAGTATGCGAGCCCCTGCAGAGGCCACAAAGCCTGCAGAGTTTCAAGGTGCAGGGGTTTGTGGAAAACTGTACCTCAAGCTGTGGACAAGCAAAACTTGTGACATGGGTGATAGTGTGCGCTAAGGTGCAGCAGGATGAAAGCTGCAGGCCTGCTAGTCCATGCTGCGGCCAAAAAGCCTGCCAGCTGTTAAGGAAATAGATGCAGGGATTCTGGGTTCTGGGGCCCTGCCCCCCCAGCTGCTGACAGGCAAAACTCATGACCTAGTGCTTGTTATGTATGTACTAACCTATTATGTATGTACCTAACTACAGACACTAGTATATGGTTATATGCGAGGAGGATACATGAATATCTATATCACTATCCCCATGTATAGAGACAGAGAGAGAGGGATAGTAATAGGATCACTGTGTTAATGATGGTGTGTATTATATACACACACTATCTGCATATTGGTATACACACATCCTTATTGGATACATCTCTGTACAGTTTCAGAGTAGTCAATAACCCCATCAGGGCAATCCCCTGTTCTCAATATTACATTATTTTACACCAAAGATCCGATAATCTCCCCTAGAACTGAACGGATGTCTTGCAGTGCTTCCTGAACCACAACCTGCTGTAGGGGAGGAGGAAGCCTCACAGGGGCACATTGCCATGTTGTGCAGCTCCAGGAAGGGCATACCTGAACACACACACAGTGTCACCCACCCGTGTCACAGGTTTTGCCTGCCTGCAGCCAGAGGTGCAGGGCCCCAGAACCCAGAATTCCTGCACCTATCTCCTTAACAGCTCGTAGGCTTTGTGGCCCCAGCAAGGACTAGCAGGCCTGCAGCTTTCATCCTGCTGTGCCTTAGCATGTCACAGATGTCACATGTTTTGCTTGTCCACAGCTTGAGGTACAGTTTTCCGCAAACCCCTGCACCTATCTCCTTGAAACTTCGCAGGCTTTGTGGCCTCCGCAGGGGCTCACACGCCTGCGGGTTTTGACCCCGCTGTTGCTTAACACATACACGTGCCATGAGTTTTGCTTTCACGACTTTGGGGTGCAGTTTCCCCGAACTCCCTGCAGCTCTCTCCTTGTCACTTTGCATACTTCATTCCCTCAGAAGGGTCTACCATTCCTGCAAGTTTCATCCAAAGCAGGCGAGAAATGACCAAGTTTATAGGCTGTTTTAAACTTCCTCATTATAGCCTATGGATGAAACGTCAAAACAGCGTTGAAATGGCGAAACTGTTTAGTTGAAACGGAACAGAACAGTGGTTTCGAATCGAAACAGAATTCGAAATGGAATGCTGTTCTGTCGAAACGCAAGTCAAAATGGAATGGTGCCATTTTGCACGGCCTTATTCTACAGTACAATATTATTAATTGTTTTGACATTGACATCAGGCTTTTTGCAAAACTGTATATATGATTTATGAATTTAATAAAAAAGGTTCACAGATGTAGATTGAGCAGTGGGAAACTCCAGCAGCAAAAGTCAGAGAGGCCTGCCTCAGGATTGCAGTTCACTTTAAACTGACTTTTATTTCAAGTCAGCAGGCTGACTACTCCACTGCCATGACAATGTATAGGAAACTTTTTTTCTGGGTATCTTCAGTGGTATCTTCTAAAAATATTTTTGGAATGCAGAAATTAGAAAAGAAAGCCCTTGTTAATCCAATCTCAATGGTATATTTTGCAATTAGACAATAGCTTGGGTGTTCATTTTTATATGCTACTTATATAAGCAGTGCTTTAGGCTAACAGTAAGAAAGTACGTAACTCCTTGATTGTTGTCAGTAGAGATTTGCCTTGCATTCTTGTCTTGTATTCCAACCTTGTTAAAATATACCTTATTTAACTGCTGTGGTTCCTTCAGACTGAAGTATGTTTTTGTTTGTGCATCCTGGTTTTTTAGGTTGCTAAGATTTTAAATTCGGGTGTGTATGCAATACACAAAGAACTAGTAACGCTATTACAGGATGAGTCACTGGAGGTAACATAATCTTATTTGCTCTTCCCTTCCTTTGTTTATATTGATGCTTAAGGCCAATATAATGTAATGCACCATGATAATAAATACATGAAATGATTGCTATCTTTTACTTCTGTTTCACATAATTACTTCTGTACTATGTCCTTGGTGTTAATTGGAGGTGTCACTCATGAGGTCATCCTGCTCTAACTGCTCCTGTATGTGTGTACAATAAAATCTCTGGTACCTGGCATTTAACTAACCAGAAATGCCATTAACCGGAATTTCTGGCCAGCCAGCAGTGGCTGTTGTCACCCACTATCCTGCAATGCCACAGCACGCTGCTGCCCCTCCCATGCAAAAATGGGAGTGAATGGTTTGAGAATGTTATAGCTCAGGAGTGCCACGGATGTAGTTTTGGCATACCTCAAACTCTTTGTATAGATCCAAGGAACATTATGTTGATACTTTTGAAGGGGCTGATCATTGAAATATAGAGGAGAGCAAACCTATAATATTTAAATTAAGTAAGCCCCACCCTGTTTTATCAGGTTTATCAGAATTTCATTTTAAAAAGTTCTGCTTTGGGATGTGTAGTGTGCGTGTGGAGACTTATAGCGTGTACCCTGCCCCCACACAAGCAATGGATCAGTGTTAAGATCCAAGAGGTGGAGTTGTTTCACTTAAACTTTTCCTTTTACCCAGAGAAATGTAATTTTTATATATCAGTGGTTAAATACATTGTGTTCCAAACAGTACTTGGAATAGAGCTTGGAAGCTTCAGGCAAATCGTCTAAGGTTTTTATCGTCTTAGGCTTTATGTACAGGCAAACTCTAACCATATTGCAGGAATGTCATGAGACATGATTTTATATTGAAGTGGACAAATGATTACAGGGAGAAAAAAATGACGGATTGGGTCCTGGTCTGGTAAGGTGCTTAAATAATTTCAGTTCTCAGTGGTGAGCAGGAAGTGCTATTGACTTCTTTGGATTTATTTCAGCATCTAGGCTCAGGTTTTATGTAGGACCCTGAGTCAATTTGAAAACTAGGTGGTGATTTTGGGGGGGAAGGGGAGTCTCAATTTTTGAGTATCTAGGTTGACATATCTGAAAAGCATCTGACTTTCCAAAGAAGGTGCTTATAACATAAAAAAATCAGGCTTTCATGGCGTGTTAAGTTGGGCACCCAAAAGAGTGTCTCAGATCCAACCGTTGCATTTATGGTTAACTGTGTAACAGAAGTTGGAGTTTGACTATGGAGAATGGGGATGAAGATGTCTAGACCTGATTTAGGACTTGTCCCTATCGTACACGTAATAAGATCTTTGTAGTTTTGTTTTTAGATGTCCCAGGCTTTCCATACTGGTTACTTTGTTGTGTAATATTTTAGTCTAGGCATGGGTACCGCAAGTGGCACAGGCAATTTCTGTGCATGGCATGCAGCAGACTTGGGGAGGGGACAGATAGCACAGTGACAGATAGGACAGGGAGTAGAAAACAGAGCACCATATCAGGCAGGGAGCACAGGACAGAAAGCAGAGCAACATATTAAGTAAGGAAGAGGGATCAGAGTGGCACTCATGGAGAGTGTGTGGCTGATTTGTTGGGGGAGGGGAAGGGAGGATGCAGGAAGGGGAGGGCACAGTTGTTCTGGCAGCAGCACCTCTAGCCAAGTTCTGGAGCCAGAGCCTGAATCAGAGCTGCTGCCACTGCCACTCCTGCTACCAGGACAGACTGAGGCCAGAACAACCATGCTTTGTAGCTGGCTGGAGAGAATCCAGAGCCCTGCCAGAACTGAAGGGTAGCGATTCAGTAAAAGGAGGTAGGCAGGGGGGAAATGGGGAGATTGGGGTGTTGGCGGGGGGAGGCAGAGGTGGGAGGGAGCAGGCATCAGCTTTGGCTCCAACACCAACCTTGAGTCAGAGCTGCAACAGCTGCCTCCTCCTCCTGGTGCCTTGCACTCGAATCGAATACAAGGGGCTCTTTCCCCATGTTAAACAGGGGGGGACCTCATCTTGTATTCAAGTAAGTAGTCATCCTTTTTTATATTTGAAATTCTTACAAAACTATGAAATGCAGGGCTTCATGAGGAAAATACTGTTTAAATATCTTGCATTCTGAATAACATTGTGACCATAAAGTAGGTACAATTCTAGGTTATAGTTTTATTTTTCTGAATTTGAAACTCCAGCCATTTTATATATAATATTGCCTGTGAACTTTAATATCATCACTACACACAAAAAAGTGGACTTGATTCTCCTTGCATATACACTGGTGTAATGTAGCAGTAACAGCACAGAGTCAGTAGAGACATACTAGCTTTTAACTGTGTGCGAGAAAGACCAGGCCAGGTGAATGTACAAACATGATTTACCTTGCATTTTTTCAAATAGGTATTAGATGCACTAATAGGTCACCTTCCTGAAATCCTTGAACTTATGACTACTGTTGGAGAAAACAGTGGATCAGAAAGCAAGGTGAGTATCTAAATACAAATGGGGCTAATAGTAAAGTTATTTTACATATGCAATACACAATTGAATCCCAAAGTCTATGTATAGACTGTACAAGGGCACAGGAACAGATCTTTTTATGCTGAATCTGAAACCTGCCATTTTTGTATGTTTAATTACTCTTGCTCTCTCTTCTTTCCCTCCTTGTATATGTAGTGCAGGTCTGGAATGTAGTCCTGTATGTATGTTTTCTGAGAGAGAGAGAAATTTGAAAGCCTTTATGTCCACTACAAAATAGAAACTTCTTACCTTTTGTCTAAATACAACATTGTTTACAAAATGGATCACATTTTCAAAGTCACTAATTTGAACAATAGTTGTGCATGCATCTTGGAACACTTGGTTTCATGCTCAGAGAGCAGCTTTTTGTCTAACGTATATTAATGTTTGCACATGAGTAAGGCAGCACACAACTGCCATTTTTAAACAACTGCTTTTAGGTGAAAGGATGGTTCTTGCTTTTCACATCACTGAGCCAGGACTTGGGACACTTGGGTCCAGTTTCTTGTTTTACCACTGACCGCCCTCTGTGACCAGTGATTCTCAGCCAGGCTGCTGGGTCACTGTGGGGTGCTTACCAGATCCTTTGAAGGGTAAGCCATGATGTGTGAGGAGATAAGTAGATAAACACAGGCTTAGACTTTCCCATGCCTGGATGATTCCCCACCCTCACTGCCCAGCCTCTCTGCAAAGAGGTAAGCACTGTAATATATACATTAGGTTTTAGGTTTTAAAATTGAGTGTCACTCAGTTCACAAAAGTTTATGAAGGGTTGCCTCAAGTCCAAAACAGTTGAGGACCACTGCATTAGACCAGGGGTGCTTAGCCTGTGGCCCATGGTCCCAGTGCAGCCTGTGGAGCCATCCCATCTGGCATGTGGGGCTCCCCGCAGGTTAAAGAATTTGGCAGTGGGGGAGCAGTGACCATTAATACAGCCACACTTCCCCATTGCTAAATTCCCAAGCCCCATGTAATGGGTTGGAACCAGGTTACGCACCCCCTCCTCCCTGCCCCGATGAGGCCAGGCCATGTCCCCTTCCCCTTTGTAGGGCTGGGTTGGGGCTGCCTCCTCCCCTAGTGGGGCCAGATGGTGTCTGCTGCCCCTCCCACTGTGGGTGCTTGATTGGGGCCACTAGCTGGACTGCCAGCAGACTGCCCAGCTGACCCACCGGGTAAGAAGACCACCTTATATGATTAAATTAACCTTTTGATGCATGAGATTCCCCATTCATAGGATGGGGAACCCCTCACAGAGTGTTTTGAAGGAAAATTTATTGATATTTTGGGGCACATTTGTAATCTAGTGGCAGAGGCTACCTAAGACCATGAATGCATGAATATATTTTACATAAATAGAAACTCAAAAATAAGTCACAATTTAAAACTGTAAATTCACATAGCAAGAGTAATGCAAGACAAGGGAATTAATTATCCTGCTCTCCTTGTGGCTTGGGAAGTCTCAACTGGACTGATGTTTCTTAGAATATAGAAAGGCTTGGAAAATGGTGTAGAACTGTAACTTGTCTCTGCTTCATAGTTTTAAAGCCCGCTTCTACTTTCAACTATTTTTAATTGGGTAGGACAGAATGCCGCCTTTGAGAATAACTGGTGCAAAGAAGTATCAGCTTTCAAGTGATAACGTACTTAACAGATTCTGTGAAACTCATGAATTTCAGAGCATATGAGTTTTAGTATCTGTTGGAGTAAGCTGCTGCCTATGAAAGCTTATGCCTAATGAACTGATTAGTCTCTGAAGTGCCACCTTGCCTGGCCTTCTGCCTGACTCCACACTAACATGGCTAATCACCTCTCTCTGTTTTTATGTAATGGAGTTAAACCAACATCATTGTTTTACCTGGCATTTAGCTTAGGCTGTGTCTCCTCCTTTCTCAGACTTCAGCAAGGAACTTTGTGCTCGATAGCTTATCTGACATCTCTGCTATTTATATAGTTGGTCCAATAAAAGATATTACCAAGGGAACTTGGGGTTCTTTCCAGCCCTGTGTTTTCATGATTTGTATAAATTCATTTTAGGCTTAAATTATTTATGTGCCTTGGTGACTTAGGATTTTAAATTCTTCTAATATTTCTATTTTATATTTTAGTTATTGACTGTCCCTGACTTGATTCCAGCGCTAACAACAGCAGAACAGAGAGCAGCAACCTCTTTAAAGTGGAGAACTCATGAGAAGTTACTACAAAAATATGCATGCCTGCCTCATATCATATCGAGTGATCAGATTTATTACCGTTTTCTGCACAGAATGTTGACAATC